AAAAAAAACCCCATGCAGTACATCATCCATTACAATATTCACATTTCACTATACTGTATCCCTTTAAAAGACACTACCAAGTACAAAATACATCTGTTAATCTGCTAGAAATGCACTATGATGGTGTTACTTTTTAAAGCCCGATTGTGGGCTGATGACACACAGCATTTTTGTGGACTGAGTGGTGTTAGCCCCACCTAGTGTCTTTTTTTGAACTACTCAACCACTCACTCTCAGATCTCTACAACATAAAGTCTAATTATTTTGTAGTCCAAGATAAGAACCAGGATATCTAAACAGGCTCTTTGAGATAACACAGGCTCTTTGAGATAAGAAGTTCGCATAGGACATGTGATCAACAGGTAATTTTTGCACTTATATAAACGAACAGTGGAGAAGGAGTTTCGCAATAAGTAACAAGTGTATAAACTATATGAATTCAGCTCCTGGGTTTCCTTGTTCAGCTGACAGCTCCTAATGTGGGATTTCTTTGCTAAGGGGATAGTGTTGTTTTGATTATAATTTTTGCACTTACAGTGCTACTAAACGCAGTAGTTAAATCTTTAAAATGCATTCAAGTATCCTAACTACGAACAAAAATGCAACTTATTTGTGTATCACTGAGTTGTAGATCCTCAGATCATCTCTGTATTCGAACACTGTCCTTCCATCTAGAGGGTGGCTACTGTTCCAAGTGTTCCCTGTGTGTGTTGTAAAGTAGCCACCTCTCCAAGCTGACTCCTGTGATAGATTACAATCTCACATTTAGTTAAATCATTTGTATTGAGATTGTAGTCCATCACAGGAGTGAGCATGGAGTGGTGGCTAATTTACAACACACACAAGGACCATGGGGAACAAAAGTAGCCACACTCCAAAAGGAAGGAAATTGTCAGCACCAATTCAGAGATGATTTGAGTGATGCACAAATAAGAAACATTTCTGTTAATAGTTAAAAGGTACTTGAATGCATTTTTAAGATTTAACTCCTGAGTTTAGTGTCCCTTGAGGGCCTGTTCACATGAGTTCCAGGTCCTGATCAGGTGCGGATCTGCAGACACGGTGCTATGTGTTTTGCCGCGTTTTTGATGCGTTCCAGTAAAAAAAAACTTTTTGCTGGAGTGGGGCTGTCAGTATGTTAGCTGCAGTGCGTTTTTGGCGCTTTTTGCGTTTCCGGACCGTTTCCTGACCGTACAAAATGTGACATGCAGTATTTTTCTGTCGTAACCTGAACGGACTGCGCATGTGAGAACTGTAGCCCATAAAACACATAGGGATACATTGGGATGCATTTTTAGTGCAGGACTGTACGGATCAGGTCAGCACAGAAAACGGACATTGTGTGAACAGCCCCTGAAGGTACATATATAACATAATGGTTCCAATGGCATATTTCACAGACCGAAAGAGAGCAAATAAGAGAATTTGATAGTTAGGGTTTTCATACAGTTAGGGCCTGTTCACACAACGTCCGTTTTCTGTGCTGACCTGATCCGTACGCTTTTTAAAAAAAACTGGAACGCATCAAAAACACGGCAAAACACATAGCACCGCGTCTGCAGATCCGCACCTGAAACTCATGTGAACAGGCCCTTAAACTGTAAGCCTGAAAATCTCTTCACATTAAAGCCTTTTCTTACACCAAAACAATGTTTTCTTAACCGGCATCTCACTGGATTCACTTGAATGCTGCTCAGAGCAGAAGCAATGTTAGGGAGAATTTCTTAGTTCCTGGCCAGGCTAAAAGGTCTATTTATATAATCAACATTACATTGGTTAAGAATTTCACACTTTCCACATGTGGTGCTACAGCCCATGGTTTAGTTTTCACTAGAGACACTATCTGTCCTCGGGGGTGAGGTCCACACTGCCCTAGGTATCTTGAGGGTGTTGCAACTACTTCTGACTTTTTTTGTGTGTTGCACGGCCCTGCAGTGCTTATGGCCTTTTTTGCTCACAAGAGTCAAGGGAGGCTCCGGCTCAGTTCCAGTCACATGACAGAGCCAAGGGGAGGAGTTCCCCTCACCCCTCCCACCCCCAAAAGTAAACATTTAAAAACAAACTTAATGTAGTGCCGATCTCTAGAAGGTTACGCATTACTTGCATAGTTTATCGTTATGGTTTTGGAGACGCTTACCTATTAATTTGTTTTCCTTAACAAAGCATCTGAACTCTCCACCTGGGATCAACTCACACCATTTCCTTAGAACAAGCTAAAGGGAATGAAAGTAAAAAATCTAAATAACAGCCATTATAACAGGTCCATTATTAAGCACATGTGGAATGTGTAGTTTACAAAAGATAAACATCTACAAAATGCTACACATATTCAGAACCATGGAGCAAATAACTTGGTAAAATGCTCACAATTAACACAAAAGTGCAAAGAGCAATGATACACACTTGCACATGTTAACCAATTACATTTCAATAGTACTGTATATTGAAGCCAGAATAATAAAGTTGACTTCTGTTTGGTTGCTATAAGATTTTGTCAGTCTCTAAAGTTCTCTTTCTGTAAGGATATGTCTTAAAAGTTATGGTTTTGCTCAAAAGCTTTGCCCTCAAGTCTACCAAAGTAACAAAAGTGTTTTTAAAAAAATAAGTCTGCTTTTTAAAGAATTACATTTAAATAGGGCTAAAAACTGCATTCGTTCTCATACTCTTTTGCAGTTGCCGATGATGTACATGGTAAAAATAAAATAAAAAAATAAAAATCTATGGAAAAGCTAATAAATAATTACAAACTGACATATATGTTGTTATATGTTTATTATATGATTATTGTAAGTGTATACTAACATATAGTCCTCACTAAGAATTCAATAGGAATATGAATTAAAAATTAAACATAATTCAATATAAAAAGTCCTTGAAGTCCAATTCCTGACAAAAACTTTATTTTGGACAGAGTAGAGAAGGTTTAGATTCTCTGCCCAGTTTGTATTGCTCTATGTGTCTCAGTCAGCAAGAAGTAACAAAAAGCTCTTCAATGAGAGAGATACAGCAACAAATTTTAAGTAAAATTTAAGTTAAAACAATTTTAAGTGAAAGCTATGACACCTGTAAAGTTATTATTGCCATCTGTGCTTTCCTTGTAACCCCCGTTCTACTGATCTGTTGCCTGTCACATGAATACAATTTCAAGTAAATCACCCTAATGGAGTAAATAACAGTCATAAAACCTAAAAAACATTTTAATCCCTCCATTGTATTCCAAACAAAAACGTTTTGGCTTTAACAGTACAATACATGTGATCCTATTCTTTGAACAAGTGTTGTACATGCAGTAGTTAAAGCAGAAAATGCCCCATTCATGTCCAATCTGTAACAAGCTGCATCTAAAAATTGTCGAACAATTTGAGAATAATGTTTGCCCATATAAAATTGCAAATACTTTAAATATATCATCTACAGTGCATAATATCATAAAAAGATTCCAAGAATCTGAAAAAATCTCTGTGTGCAAGAGACAAGGCCAAAATGCAATATTGGATGCCCAAGATCTTCAGGTCCTCAGATGGCAGTGCATTAAAAACAGGCATGATTCTGTGATGGACATCACTGCCTGGGCTCAGGAATACTTTAAAGAATCACTGTCTTTTTTTTGCTGATTTTTTAGTACGTGTTATAAATATATTTATTAACTAATAATTTATTAACAATGATCCAAAATTTCACACATTTTACATAACAGACAAATGATCAACATTGATAACAAAACAAAACATTACAGAAAATCACCGTCTGTTAACAAAGTTTGCCGTGCCATCCAAGTTAAAGTTCTATCATGCAAAGAAGAAGCTATATCTGAACATGACCCGGAAATGCCTCCGTCTTCTCTGGGCCAAAGCTCATTTAAAATGATCTGTTGCAAAGTGGAAAACTGTTTTGTGGTCAGAAAAATCGAAATTTGACAATCTTATTGGCAACCATGGGTGCCACATCCTCTCATCAGCGCTCAGTTCAAAAGCCTGCATCTCTGATGGTATTGGGGTGGATTAGTGTGTATGGAATGGGCAGCTCGCGTATCTGGAAAGGCACCATCAACGCTGATACATATATCCAGGTTTTACAGCATCCCATTCAGATGACGTCTTTTTCAGGGAAGGCCTTGCATATTCAGCAGGAGAAAGTATGCTTCCAGGCCTAAAGGTATGAATGGTAACAGAAAAATACATGAAATACATTTTCAGCACTGCTATGGTTACAATTCTCTCCCAATCTTCACATGACTGCATTGCAATGCAGAGTGTAAAAATACATGCAGTATTTGTAGATGCATGACTCCAGACCTATAGGAATGAATGGTAATAAAGAAAAATACACATTTTTATTTTCTTGCACTTTTTGGGAAAACATCTCTCCCAATTTGCACAACACATGACAAAAACACAGGTTAAAGAACAAATAAAAACATGACAACGGGCATCATAAACCTATAATTACTTCTTGAGCGAAGGCATTTTTTAAGAAGCAATACCCTAATTTACAATATCTACAATGTTTTTTGTTTTGTTTTTGGTCCTTTACTCTATCGCATAGTACCCCAAGTTCCATCATTGAAACATTTGCATTTAAAACAACAGGGGTGGGGGGAGTACAATTTTGCAAATACAACAGTCAGGATGCTACACATTTCTAAGCAGTGATGTGCGCCTTTAAAATGTTGCTCATACGTACTAATTAATCCCCAAACTCCTCATCTCCTTCCACTAACCATAATTGTCACTTAAGCTCACGCTGTACTTGTCATACAACTTCAGAGAGTCACAGTGTGTGAGACTTTAATAAGAGCTAGAAATGGAAGTGGCCTAAAAAAAACACTATCCATGATTGCCTGTCTGCAGGAAGTAAATATATGCATACTTCTAATGTGAAAGCTCGATCAGATCACCTTCAACTTCCCAGAAAGCAATTTTATTCTCAAAAATTGATCATTGAAGTAATTGCTAAAATTCCTTTCTTCCGTCAATGCCATTAGAACAAATGTAACATATCCGAGATAAAAACAAAGCCTGTAATGAATTCGAGTTTAAACTTCAAATATGTATTATTTCTTTAAACTCCTAAGCGGTATCTATGTATTTAAACCGAATACCTACAGCTTGGAATAAATCTTGATAGTTCTATTAAATCAACTGGCATTGCATTTAGTTTTACTGAACAAAAGCAAGAATGCCGTAAAGAAACTGAACTAGTATTATGTAAAGGCAACTCCAGAAAAAAAATCCTTCTGGCTGCCAGTACACAATGCAGCTGTGCTAATGTCAAAGGCCTTATTCCACAAAGTAAAGACGTAAGATTCCAGTTTGTTGGTACAGTAATTCAGAAAGGACTATCTGAGCATAACTAAGCTTGTTCCTTCTCTAGATTGAACAAGAAAAAGGCGCATGAGCAGAGAGTAGCCCAAGGATCCCTGGATCCACGCCGCGCATGCACCAGTGGGCGGGGTGAACGGCACTTCTCCGAGATGACGGACGCTGCCGAGAGGCATGGCGTCCTGTTGCCTAGGGGAGCTGCTCTTCTCAATCACGCTCTCTCCAGCAGCCGTGACAGCAGCAATATTCTCCACGATCTCCCCGCACACAGAGCACGTTATTCTGGGACTGTCAAGGTCTTACCTTGTCCGCATGGTGGCAGCCATTTTGGACATGTGCAGACTGCAGTCTCTTATAACCTCTGATTACATAATCGCTTGCTTGCTGCCTCGGCGTCGCACAGTGATGATGTGGCAACACCTGACTATATCAGTCTGCAGGTTCATTGCCCTTGCATTTGTGCTCCAAGGTGCATCTCTGGCAGTCTGAGTTCCTTTGTGTGTTCCTGTGTATGATCTGGCCTGGCTGACGTTTTCTCTGGCTCTTGGCATCGGCAGACGTACCCGCTTTGGACATGATCCCAGCTTGGACGACTACACGCTTTGGAGGTGATCCCGGCTCAGCAGATGTACCCGCATTGGACTTGACCAGCTTGTTCCAGACCTCACTGATGCTGTTCCCTGATGAATGTTTATTTATGTTCCTTTAAATAAACAACTTTATTTTACCTGCATTTCCGTGTGGTCTGGTTTCCTGGGTCCCGTGACAGGGACCTGCTGAGCATCTAAATCTGAGTGTCATATTACCATTGGCCATAATGCAAAATGTGTGATGTCAACCTTTTGTTGCTTTTTCACAGGTTATGTTTATGTGTTCGTATTACTGTTTACATCATATTTAAATGCAAATGGCCGAATTGTGACACCAAGGAGTGTGGGTGGGGCTTGTAATTCACTTCCCTATTGGTATGTCTATAAAAATTATGGTTTATTACTTTCACACTGTCATCTCTGAGCCTTATGAAGGGGACCTTGTGTGGCCCTGAAACCACTTGCACATGAGGGACATCATTCTTCAATAAATGGTCACCTAATTGCTGTAACTATCGTTTTGGTGACGTTCTTCAACTATCTTTTCTAGATTGAGTCCATGTTCTTGTAATTAGCATACATATTATTGTGGTGAATGGGATCAATATAGTCTTACTCCTTTACCAGGAGAAAACTAGGTCTGTTCCACCAAGTTCATGCATCACTGTAGCTTCAAACCAAGACAACTTTCATATATTAAAAACATGATGTTCAGGAAGATCCTTTGAGGAGTTTCCACATATGGACATGACTTTACAAACAAAGACCTTGTTAACCAGTTGCCGTACGCCCGTAGTAGAAAAACGGACGGACGGCACTGTCGCATTCGCGGGTTGCCGTCGCCAGACGGCATTTTTTTTCTGCTCGCGCGCGCCCCCTAGCGGGCACGCACGGGCAGAAAAGACCCGTCCAATGCGAACACCCGGTACCGGGTGTTTCACATATAGGCGATCAGCGGGTCCATAGCCCGCCGATCGCCTATATGTGCTCGTTTGCAGAGACCCCTAATATGTGCTCCTAGAGACCCCTAATATCTCCATAAAGAGGACCTGTCAGTGTGCCTTTGCTATTATATAGGGGGTTGTTATCCCCCTATATAATAGCAATAACAATAAGTGCAAAAAAAAAAATATAAATAAAAAAAAAGAAAAGTAACACATAAAAAAATAAAATAAAATAAAAGCCACATATAAAAAAAGGGGAAAAAACCCCCCCAAAATGTTTAACTCCCCCACCCCCACGTTTACGCGCCTATAAACGTAAATACGCGTCCAGTGCCCTAGCGCGCAAAAATTACAATTGCGCTACACATGTTACATATCGCCGCGAACGTCGCAGTGAGAGCAATCATTTTAGGGCCATCAATCACTGATAACACTAAACTGATGAGCGGTAACAGCTTTTAAAGCGTCGCCTATGGCCAATTTTGGGTATTATCGTTTTTTGCGGTTTTGCGCGCGCACGCAATTTTAAGGCTTGACATTTTTGGTGTCTTTTTACCCGACGTGACCCCGTCTTTTATATTTTACCAAAAAATTGGGTAATAATAAATGTTTTATCATTTAATATAGGGGAAACTGTTTTTTTTTTTTATTTCGGTGATTTTTCCTTAATATAGTAAAAAAATAAAAACCCCCAGTGGTGAATAAATACCACCAAATGAAAGCTCTATCTGTCCTCAAAAAAGGGTATAAAATTCATTTCAGTACAGCGCTGCATGACGGAATAAATGTCAGTCAAAGTACCGCAGCGCTGAATACTGAAAAATGGCCTGGATGGGAAGGGGGTTTAACACTGCGGATGTCAACTGGTTAAAGTCAGTAAATCTAAATGTAATGTAAATTTCTGGTAGCACTCTGCTTTCCCAATAAAAAGAACATATCACCAAAGTCTCTAGTTCCCAGGCTTTTCCTTAACCTGACTGTACACTGGGCAATTCTCCATTTATATATATTTTTTACATTTTCTGGCAGAATCACTTATAGTATTACTTTGCTGATCTGTGGCAATAAGGGAACTGTACAATTATTATTATTATTATTACTACAGGTATTTATGTAGCGCCAACATTTTACGCAGCACTTTACATAGTTGCACATGCAAATCAGTCCCTACCCTCAAGTTTACAATCTAAGGTCCCTATCTCACATGCATACATAGAGGGCCAACTTAGAAAGGAGCCAATTAACCTACCAGCATGTCTTTGTGCTGCAAGGCAGAAGCGCTAACTACTACGCCACTGTGCAGTTTGTCTGCACTCCTTCCTTTGGTATAAGCACTGTAAGCAAACTATTTGTCATTTGGCAATTGTTCTGTTTTCCGTACTTGTTCGAAATATGTGGTGAGCACCTAGTGGGTTTAATATTAGGGCTGCAACAACTAATCGACATAATCGATTATAATCGATTATTGAAAAAGTTGTCAACTTTTTCAATAATCGATTAATCGGCTTCTGATCAGTTGGCCCTGTTCACGGCTCCACACACACTGCGCGCCGCACCTCCTCCCCAACTCACGCTCACCGCTGCCAGACCCGCCTGCATCCACGCTCTACACGCCGCACCTCCTTCCCGCCTCACACTCACCGCCCACATCCACGATCGGCACAGGGACGCGGGGAGAAGAAGTAAGGAGGAGCAGATGTGGGGGGATGACAGCGGCAGATAGACAGGCCAGATCTCAGAAACAAGTTGCTGGAAGACTGCTCAGGTAAGCCTGCACTTTTCCACACATGGAGCTCTATAATGTATTGCTGGGATTTGTATTCCTCTATAGCTGATGGTACATTGTGCTCTATATTATACATGGGAATACAAATCCCAGCAATACATTATACACTGCATGTATAATGTATTGCTGGGATTTGTTGTACTCCTATATAGCTGGTGGTATTCTGCATTGCGCTTTTTAGAGGACTACAAATCAAGGAATAATACATTATACAGCGCAATGCGGAATACCACCAGCTATAGAGTACATCAAATCCCAGCAATAATACATTATACAGTGGTGCAATGCCGAATACCACTAACTATAGAGGACTACAAATCCCAGCAATAGTACAATATACAGCGCAATGCAGAATACCGCCAGCTATAAGGATTTGTTGTGATACTCTATAGCTGGTGATATTCTGCATTGCGCTGTATATTGTACTATTGCTGGGATTTGTAGTCCTCTATAGCCGGTGCCATTCTGCATTCATTGCTGTATAATTTTACACTTTTAATTTCACTATATTGCACACCACACTTTTTTTTCCTTTTTTACTTCCACCGCTCCAAGCTTGATGGACTACAATCTCAATACAAACTAGTAGTCCCATCACTGGAGCCATTTTTAAAATGTATTTTATTGCTTATCCGATTAACCGATTAATCGAACTTAATAATCGGCTAACTAATCGATTTTGAAAATAATCGTTAGCTGCAGCTCTATTTAATATATCATTCTATTGCAATTTAATCAAATGCAGTAGCCTTCCTTCTTGACAGTTATATTGGGGCATATCTTACATCTTTAAAGCCCTACTGCAGTGTTGCTCCTTGACTTTTCTACCTGTCCTTTAAGATTCTTAAGTTGTTCTTAAGGTGACACTAAACTCAGGACATATCTCAAAAATGCATTTTGGTTGGTTGAACTTATTAACACTAAAGAGGTTGCTCGTTACATGATAATCAACTAACTAAATCATAACTTCTGATTGCAAGTCCATAATTTCCAGGTATATTACCTTCCATTCCCTTTTCAACACTGGCATTCCAGTCCATTTTAAAATCTCTCAAAGTAGGGATGCGCAGATACTGGGCATTTTCCCCCATGAGACCCGGCATGCGCAACCTTCCCTAAAATATTTTAGGCATGCGCGCACCCCCTAATATATATATATATATCATACATTAAAACAGGGATGCACAAATCCCAGGAGCTCAATGTGCTCCTTAAAAATTACAACTGCCTCCTAACTATTGAGTTTTTCTCAGGTCTAGTCCTGTAGCTGGAAATGTACCTGTACTTGGTATCTGAACATCCCTAATAAAAAGGACAAGAACAATATCACATCACTGGAGGATGAGATCCTTAGGTCATGAACTAACTCCTGAGGAAGAGCCAGGGATCGTACTTTTTATGAGGCTTCACAAAACAGAGTTACTACTGTTGACAAATGTGTGAGAAGGAGCACAAGCATAAAGAAGACAGTGCACATACACATTCTTTCTGGTTAAAACATTCAAATAAATGGTTTTGCTTACCTCATACTTTACATTGGGGTCAGGGGAATCATCTGTGCAATGAATAAACCTGTAGGTCACAACATTGAAAAGCTGTCAATATAAAGACATATTTAGGACATTTGTGTTTTCAAAAAACATCCATGATGGTTTATAAGCATACAATGGGAGTATCGAACCATGGTACCACTGATGGTGAGCCACAGTGAAAATGAAGACATTTTCTTTTTGCCAACTTGGAGACAGAACTTTGCAAAGTTGAACAGTACCTCCAACAGAGTGTGAATGGCAAGTACAATAAATATTTTAACGGATTTTATCATATACTCTTCTTGATCTATACTTGTACTTGACATGCAAGTGGTCAGTTTAAACTGTTGCCAACAATTGTAGCATCTTACAGCCTTAGATAGATAGATATATATATATATATATATATCTCTTTCTTCCCCAATAGCTACACAAGCTGGTAATTGAAACACTGAAGATAGATGTACATAATTACAAGTAGGATGACAAATGGTTTTAATATAACAGACTGCTTTAATAACATTGGTAATACAGTTCAGTATACTAGACCCAAACAGTGCACATTTCAGGATCATTTCCTGGGAACAGAGGGTCAGTCAACATACAAACCTATGATATGTAAAATGAAAAAAAAAAACATCAAAAGTGTTTTCTGCTGTGATCTAAAGGAGTGCCTTGGGTGATAACATGGCTAGAATTTACCTTGCAGCTCTTTGAAGCTGAACTATGGGTACTACTAAACAGACATATATGAGAGCCGTTTTACATGCCAAATATTTTGTCAACCTAAGCAGCTGGTTTTGTGATCCTAGCATCAATGACAGGGCAGCACCCCCCTCCCCCCCCAAAAAAAGCAAAACAAACTAAAAACGACCTCGATGATGTCAACAATACCACTTGATCAAGAACACTGGACAAAATTAAATGCACAATGTAGGAGCAGCAGCGCAGTCATAAGGTCAGCTCTCTGCTCACCTTGCTTTCCCATTGTTAAAATATTAATCGTCGGCACATATGCACTACAGAAAAGACTGATCAACTCTTGTTCTGGCCCTCCCTTTCCCAGTCGAAGTGCTGATGTGAAATAGATAAGTTCAAGTATTTACACTAATTGCATTTAAAAATACATTGCATGACTGCAAATATTATTAAATAATATTATATTTATTGTCAGCACTAAAAAATACCATTTGTAGATAAGCTGTTGACTAGTCAGTTACTGAATGTATAAAACAATACTCAGTATGATCAGGTATAGCGTAGTCTGTGACTCACTTGGAGCTTACACTTGGTTTCCTTTCCTCGTTTCTGGTGGGTAAATAAAGCGCTGACCAAGCATGCGATATGGCTACATTTGCTTTTACTCTTCAGGCTAAAAACATATTCAGTAAGTACAGAAAATACCTGTTGATTTTGCCAGAAATGCACTATCTTTGTCACTTCCCGAGAGCTTAAAAAGTCAAAAAGCTTTTATTATGTAAACTACTAGTCCAACATGTCATGGAGATGAATCAAGGCAGACATGTTTGAAGTCCAGCCCATGTGACAACCATGAATGTCCCCATAGATACAATGAAGAAATAAGTGTAGGCATAAAAAGGAAAGTAAGTATGTTAATCACAGGATGAACTACCAGGTGAAAATAAAAAAGGTAGAAAATGTGAGACCCTGTGATTTTTGCAAAAAAAAATACATAAAAATCAGATGGTGAAAAAACAATTTTACATTTGAAATACACAACCAGTGTTGTGCATGTGCCATGACGCTAAGGACAAGCTCATCTCTGAACTAGGAGTGAAGAACAGTATGAAAGTGGAGAAGTCCAAATGCATGCAATGAAGGTCTCAGTGTTCAAAATGTAACATTGCTTTGAACTTCACTTTACACACTGGTATGCTGGCCATAGATGAGGAGATATTGAAAATGTTAGGTGAGGAGATATCTTCCCATGATTGCATGAGTTGTTCCAGCAACATCTGCCAGGATATTCACCTGGCACTCAAAGTAGTGCACTTGCAGCATTTTAATCCTTTCATATGACCCATAACATAGATTAGGCCTAATCCCAGAAAGATTCCAAAACACCTACTACATTGCATACACTTTTTATGTCCTATCAGATCAGAAACTGCTAGATAATCACAACTACGAATTCCACAGACGAGGTTTCGGTTATTGGAAGAACTTGTAAGAGGAAGGGTGCCAGAAAATATTTGCAGTGATTGCGGTGTGTACCCAATCCTTAAAGAGGACATATTATTAACAGTTTACTGTTCACAAAAATGATTTAATTGGTAGCTTGATTAGTACAAACAGAATAAAACAACGTATAAAGTAGCTGGCTGAAATGTAATAATGGACAATGGTGTCATTTAAAAAAAAAATTAAAAGAAAGATAAGAAGAAATGAATGCAAGGAGATTGACTATCCTAATGATCACAAAAAGCACAAGTGATGGAATGGTTGAAGAGACAGGTTTGATGTATGGGCCCTCTCCTCATTGGCAACCTGACATTTAATAATTGCAACCTTCCACATCTATCTATCTATCTATCTATATATATACACACACACACACACACACACACACACACACACACACACACACACACACACACACGGGTGCACGATTCCAAGCGTTAATGTAGAGCAGGGGAGTCGCCACTCGTTTTGTACAAGTGATCTGGGCGCTTGAACACTTGTAGCAGCCTGCTTGTCTGCCCCGTCCTGCCATCCCCCTTCCCTGACATGGTTTTCAGGATCCCCCTGATCTTTTGGGGGACCCAGAACCACAGCAAATAACTTCAGGATGCAGAGTGGAGAACGTCCATTCCCCGATTTGCTCTGTGATCAGTGAGACAGTAAATCCCAGTGCTTCCTGTCTCAGCTGTCACAAGGCGGGCTGCACAGGAGATCCAGCAGAATGCTGTGCTCGATCTTCTGTATTGGAGGATAGGATCCATAAAGGGAACCTGTCACCATCTATCACATAGGGGATTGTTAGGCCCTGTCTGATAGCAAAAAAATTAAAATAAAAAAATAAGTAAAAAACCCTTAAAGCCCACCCCGTTGCCCCCACCATCTGCATGCGAATAAATGCATGTGTAGAGCATTGTGTGTGTACGCTGAGTACTGCCCCATATTGTGCTA